TACCTGAGATGAATATGTGCAGGTAAAGAACAAGTGGTGCATCGTCTCCAACGGATGTTGACATAAAGTGCAAACTGGAATAATATTCGCATTTCACTTCATCATTCTATCACCCGTGGCGAATCTGTTCTGCATTATAATCCAGTGGAGAAATGAGAACTTAGGTGTGGCATGCTTATACCAAACAGCTTCAGTCCAAGAACAGTTTAACTGAGGTGCACGAATGAGGACCCAAGTGGCTCTGGTATTGAACTTCGATTTGAAAGTGTCTGCACTGCACTTCCATTTGACTACATCAGCTTCCTCAAAGTTTGCAGTTTCTCTGGCCTTTACGATTTCCTCTTCTACTCGCTTTAGGAGCAGGACTCTGTGACGCCTGCGTCTATGACTTTTCAACACACACTCCACAGTTGAATTGATTGAAATACCCATATCAATACAACTATGAGTGCCTAAAAGATCCACCAATCTCCCGAGAGGCAACCAATGATCATGCCAAAAAGAGGTATCTCTTCCACTCCTGATTTCCATTTTGTAAAACTGTCTTGCCAGTGGCCTTAGTTTCAAGATCTTGCGCCACATCCAAGACCCCACATTTGGTTTTTCTTTAACAGACCAGAACGACTCTTTGGCGAGTAAGTTCATGTGTATCCACTGTGCCCATAATGAATCTCTGCATCCCAAAATCCTCCATATTAGTTTAAGTCCACAGACCTTGTTAACCTCCTTCATTGACCGCAAGCCCAGCCCTCCTTCTGGTTTTTCTTTGGTGACGACACTCCAAGCGAGTTTTGCTTTATGAGTATTCAACTCTGGACCAGACCACAGGAATGCTGAGCATAGTTTTTCAATCTCCTTTGTGCAAGAACTCGGTAACTGAAATGCAGCCAACCAAAAATTAGCAACACTCATAAGCACTGATTTGATCAGTTGAAGACGTCCTGCATATGATAAGGGCCGCACTGTCCATGAGCTGATTTTTGCCTTGATTTTCTCCAATAGAGGCAAATAATCATTAGATTTCATACTTCTCGTAAGCAGAGGAAGACCGAGATACTTTACAGGAAGCTGTCCTGCCGCAAAGGGAAACTCTGCAAGAATGGCTTTTTGACTTGCTTGAGAAACCCCAGCCATGTAAATAGTAGACTTCTCCAGACTAATTTTTAAACCTGAGTATCGGGCAAACTGATCAAACACCCGTATAATCCCATCAATAGATCGCTTCTTCCCATCTGTAAATACCATGATATCATCAGCAAAACACAAGTGTGTTAGCGTGATATTCTGACATTTCGGGTGGAAACCAATCTCCCTTCTCAGTGCAGCAGCATCGATTAACTTTGACAAAATATTCATACTCAGCACAAATAGATACGGTGACAAGGAACAGCCTTGACGAAGCCCCCATTCACTATGAAAATAGCCTGCTAATTCCCCATTCACTTGAACCGAGAAGGAAGCAGTGGATATGCAAAGATGTATCCAATGGATGAACGATGTAGGGAACTTTAATGCGGTGAGAATATTGACAATGAATGACCACTGGACTGAATCAAAGGCCTTAGAGATGTCAATATTTAAGGCACAACTAGCTGAGACAGAGTCCTTGTGATAGTCTTTGACTATTTCTGTTGCTAAGAGTAAGTTTTCCATCAATAGCCTGTTCTTAACAAATGCATACTGATTTGAAGCAATGATTCTCGGCATTAGATTCTTCAAACGGTTAGCTATCAGCTTGGATATAACCTTGTAAATAACATTACAACAAGAGATGGGCCTATAGTCTCTCATCTCTATTGCATCACCTTTCTTTGGAATGAGGGCTAATATAGTGGAATTGATACCTTTGGGAAGAAAGCCTTTCAGGAAGAAGGACTGCACAGCAATGGTGAAATCGGATCCAATAACAGGCCAAGCTGATCTGAAGAATTCACTTGTGTATCCATCTGGTCCAGGAGATTTATCTCCAGGCATCGAAAATAATACCTTCTGCACCTCTTCTTCTGTGACTTTTCGTTCCAGCAACCGACAATCACTATCACTACAACGAAAATCCAACAGTTGTTCCAGGCATTCTATAGAAGCACCCTCAAAGTCATCAGGCTTGTGAGTGAGGAACTCAGTAAAAAAACGAACAGCTTCTTTCTTAATGTCCTCTGATGTATCTACTTTACTTCCATCAGCACACTGAATCTCACGGATGCTGTTCTGCATTTCCCGAATCTTCACGGCATTATGAAACACTTTCGTATTTTGATCCCCAACTTTCAGCCAGTGAAGTTTGGATCTTTTTTTATAGAATTCCTCTTCCAGCGTCGCCACATGTTGCCATCGAAGGAAAGCTTCCGATTCTTTCTTTATATTCTCAGGAGACGGTTGATCCATAGTTTTATTTTGCTTCTCACAAAGATCCTGCAGCGCAAGCTTAGCTCGTTTAGGTAGGTTACCTAGTTTCGCTTTGCTTAGCTGTCGGAGCTTTGGCTTTAGCGACTTTAACTTCTTCCCCAACCGAAATAAAGCTGATGTGGAGTGGAATAGAGGCGCAGATGAAGTCCAGTGTTCCCCTATCAATGGTAAAAATTCCGGCATTTTCCCTATCGAATTCACAAACTTGAAAGGTCGTCGCTTTGATGTATCCGTCACGTCAATTCCTATTCTGCATCGGAGATGATCTGAACAACCCCCAGCTTCGAAGACAGAGTAAGTCTGAGAATATTGATGTAGCCACATATCGTTTACAAGGACTCTGTCTAACTTTTTACAGATTAGATCATTTTCCCTCTTATTGCACCATGTAAACAGAGGTCCGTGGCCTCCGAGATCAGTTAGAGAACAATGCCTCACCGTATCCTGTAAATCCCTCATACCTGAAGTAGCCCCTGATAAGCTATCAGAGTTTGAATGCTCCTCTCCATCTAAGATTTCGTTGAAATCTCACATTACAATTCAAGGTTTATCCTTAAACATTGGAGAGTCATGGTAATTTCTCAAATCTTCCCACAGAGTTTTCCTCCCCTCTTCTGTATTCAGGGCATAGATAAAACTGCAGAAGAACTCTTCTGTTGCTCCCTCCATCAAACCGAACAAGTGATAATTTCGTCACTTTTGAACACTAGAGTTAAACGAACCGTAGATCTCTAGAAAACCCAAATGCGACCTAAGTGATTGAATTCATAATTAGCCATGAATGACCACTCCTTCAAAACAGAATTTACGATACTCATGGCCTTATTTTCTTTGACTCTTGTTTCCAATAAACAACCAAAATGAACACCAGCCTCTCTCAACCGATTTCGAACTACGGAATGCTTAAATGTTTTGTTGAATCCCCGAACATTCCAAAAGCAGCTCGACATCTATTAATTTTGGTGGGGTGCTTTTTTAGCTGTAACTCCCAGGTTGTCCCTGTTTGCTACAACTGCAGGCTCTGCCAAGAATTTATGGCGGTTCTTTGAGTTTCTTGGTAATGATTGTCGTACCACAGTACCCTCAGGTACCTCTGCTTGTGATGTTTGCTCTTGAGTTTCAGCCACTGCTTCTATTGTTTCCAGATTCTGCAAACCTTCCTCTACTTCCGCAGATTCCACAATTTCGCCTTCCTCATCTTTATCACTAAGAATTGCAAAGGCTGATGCCAAAGCTATCTGATTCGGTTCTCCATTGAGATCCTTTGGCTTTGTTGGGCTTCGCCCTGCTTTTGCAGGTGAGACTCGAGTTCATACCTCTGGGTTTGCCTGATCTGTTTCTCCTCCACTTTGTGTCTGAACTATCTGAACTACTGCTGTTTCCCCAACCCCATCTGGTCTCTGGCCTGTAGGCTCTGATGTTGCAGCTATTGGACTGCTTACAATGTCTACTACAGGTTTATCCACCAGGGCTGTTACCGGTTCTCCCTTGTCTCCACCTTTTTTCATGTTAATCACACAAGCAGCTTCTAGATGACCCCGCTTCTCACATGTGTTGCATCTAGAAGGTAACCAGGGGTAAGAGAACTCCACCTCCGATTCCTGTCCCTGCTTTGTGAAGCTGATTTTATCTGGAAGTTCTTTAGTTAGGTCAGCGTTGACAAACACTTTTGATAGCTCAAAATTTGAGCAAGCAGCTGTCTCCTGATGCAGATGCTTTGGCTCGCCCACAGCACTGGTGATGAAGCTCAAACCTTTCCAAGAGAACATATCTATGGGGACGTTCCGGAGATGGACCCACAGAGGAACTGATTTAACTTCTGGTGTATCATGCTCAGAGAAAGGAGACCATTTAGACACCACCATGGGGATGTCAGCGATAATCCACATCCCTCTTCGAAGGATTCGAGCTCTCAACTGTGGAATCACAATCCGAAACCGCATTGTTGTGGGATTCACAACATTAACTTCAACTTTGTCTCCTTGAGACCAAATTTTGTTTACAATGACGTGCACTTTAGCGACATGGGGAGCCGCCGAGAGAAACCGACCAACCACAAGGTGATGGATTTTCAAATACTTCATCTGGCACTTCGACTGATCGATGACCATCTGAGGATTTGATTTCCACTGCGTATCGTTTCAGAACTTGCTTATTTTGAACTATCGAAGCAAAAGACATCGTCGATGGGCCAGAACCGTCTTTCAACTTTGCCGGAGACTGAGGACAAGATGAGGGGATACCCTTTTGCTCCCCCGGCGTTGCCATCATGGAGGCGGCCGCGCCGGAAAGCTCGCTTGCTCACGAAGAAACCCTAAAACCCTATCGCCTTTTTGATTGCCTTTCAGATCTAAACGCCGCGTTTCTTAGAGAGAGTTACACCTATCCATTCTGTGTTCTTTACTAGATCCCTCTGAACGGTTTGCCCTATCAAAATCTTCTCCATACGTGTCATTAGACATGGCGAGGTTACTAGTTCCATTGCCGTGTTGATCTCTTTCCCCAAAAAATTTCCGTTGGAGGCTGTATCTAGTTGGTTTCTGATCTTGGGGAGGGCACCTCGGTATAGAGTACTCAGGAGGGAGTCCTCCGAGAAGCCGTGGTGTGGGCATTGGTTGGTATAGCTCCTGAACCTTTCCCAAGCTTCACTAAAACTCTCGTTGTTGTGCTGAGTGAAACTGGAGATTTGGTTCCGTAGCTTGGCCGTGCGTGAAGTGGAGAAGAACTTTGATAAGAATGCCAGTTTACACTGCTCCCACGTTTGGATGGAACCCCTCGGGAGGTTCTTTTCCCATTGGTGAGCTTTGTCACCGAGGCTGAATGGGAACAGGCGTAGCTTGAAACTATCTTCTGACACGCCGTTTATCTTTGTCAGGTCGCAAACTCGATCAAATTGATCTAGATGCTCTAGAAGGTCCTCTCCGGGTAAACCGTGAAACTTGGAGTTCTGCACCATATTGAGCAGGGAAGCTTTAACTTCAAAGTTGTTGTTTTGGACAGGAGGTGCCTGAATCCCGGCTCTATATTGGTGCGCGTTTGCTCGGTCATTTTCTCCAACAAAGACTGGAGGAGGTTGTCTCTGAGCTGGTGGTGGAGGCGGAGGAACATGATGGGCTTGTTGCTCGTTTCTATTGGCTTGATGTTGGTTTTTCTAAGCAAGCCTTTCATTTCTTTGAGCCTGTTGTTGATTAACATAGGCCTGTTGCTCGTTCCTCTCGGCCTGTGCTTGATTAGCCTAAGCCTGTTGCCCGGCATCCTGAGCCTGTTGCTCGATCCTTTGCGGTTCTACCATTCCAAGCCTTTCAAAGTGCCGTTCTCTCTCGCGTGCTCTCCTTTCGATCCTGTTGATGTTGTTGTCGTAAGGGAGAGGTGGTTCTGTGCTGCGAGATCTGGTTTTCATGCACCTGAAAGCAAAGCCAGAACTTGTAAAAGAGTTAGTAAAACAAAAGAAAGGAAAGTCTTGATCTCAAGAACAAATAAGAGATTAATGCTCCCACAAGTTGGCAACGGCGCCAATTGATAACTAAGAGTTTTCACTCTTTGTAGAGGTTGTCAATCCCCTGTCTTGTAGTACAAGGGGTTATCAAACCAAACTTGTGGAGAGACACTAATCTATGTTACTTGTAATCTTAAGTCAAGATGATCGAGCAAGAGTTTTTTATGACTAATCTACTTAACAAGCAAATAAACATGAAAACGAAACAAACAGTGATATTTAGGCTAGATAAAGATGCAAATGATAATAAATAAGCAAGCAAATGATTGGATGATAATGATATATGATAAAAGCAGAAGCTTTTATATGATAAAAGCAGAAGCTTCCAAGCTAGACTAGAGAGTTAATGAATCAATAATATCAAGCGGTTTCATTTAACATGAACTCAGAGTAAGCTAAATCTCTCATGAATGTATTAGACATCTAAACTGATCCTCTTTCATACCAAAATATCTTTTGAGAAGCATGAATCAGTCAGCTTTAAGATCCAGTTCAATAAGTCATTTAAGAAGATCAAACTATCACTCTCGCGATGAAAGACTCTTAAACCTCTAACCGATTGGTTCAGACATTTCTACGAACACTTTTGATGCAAGATATGTCTAAGATCTGGACCACAAGTGATGTGCTTGGATCCAGCTTAGAGATCTCGTCGGTTAGAGAATGAAACATGCAAGACTAGACCCCTAAACTCACTAATCTATCATGAAAGCACCCTAATCTACCTATCTAAAGCCTATTAAATGGACTACTCACTGATCATAACGAGCTCACTAAGTCCTTTGAAAGACGTGTAGCTGGTCAGGATTAGGAGTTTGAAGCTGGTGAATAAAAGAAATAAAACAAGAACTAGATTTCTTACGTGAAAACGAGATATCAGATTAGGTTAATCAAGTTTCACAAAAGAGGCAAGTTCTTAAAGCTAAAACAGGCAGGAAAATGAGATAAGATCAAAGATGATTAGGTTTCTGGTCCTAAAATCTATTTATAGTGAAGGGTAAGTGTCGCAGGTCAGCCCGGAACAAACCGGGTACTGAACGCTCTTCTTGGGTCGTCAGGTTAACCAACGGTGTGTGGGAGAGTGAAGCCGAGGTCTTGATACCAAGGGGTGCACGTGAGCAAAGATCAAGATGAAGATCCCATGAAGAACATGCATAAACCCTAGTCTTCAATCCATCTTTACGTGCATTCTCCGAGTCAACTTGTTCTTGAATCTATGTTCGTGAAGCATCGTATGCATCGGCTGCCTTTTACCTTTAGCATTCTTCCGAAGTCTGGTCATTCATAGAGAGATCCCTTTGCTGCATTGAACCCGCTGGAACACTGATGAGATCATTTTTATCTCATAGCCTCTCCCTAGCCAAGCCAGCTTGTTTGAACATTGCATCATTTGATTCACCTGATAAAGCTTAATGAATGTAAAAGAGTTGAGAGAGAGAAGAACTTGTTGAGATTCCTTGTTGAGTTGATATACATCTGAGTATGGCTTTTGATAACACCGTATTTAGACCACTTTTATGGATCGTTTTAAAAAACTTTTTCTATGTTTTTAATTGCTTTTAAGTACTTTTATTATGTTTTTCTAGTATTTGTAGTTCCAAAACTCTTTTCAGGTAACTTAGGGAAAAGCTCAGAGTCAAACCGTCAGAAGTTCACCCCCGATTGAAGGTCTTCTTACCGTCTGATCCAGCTCAAATTTGGAGATCTTAAAGATGGAAGTATCAGCTTTCCAGCACACTTTACAGCTTGGCAATCCAACGGTTCAATCAAAAGATACGCAAAGAGCAAGATGTCCCGTAAACCAGCAGGCAAGCGTTTCCACCCGCGGCCAACAAGCCATTCCCCGCGGTCACAACCGCCCGACCGCGGCCAGCTAACTCCGACTTTGAAGGCCCATTTCTGAAGCCCGTATCATTTTCCCAGCCTCAATTCCGAAACCCTAGACACCAGAGAGTAGTGGAGACTATAAATACATGTCATTTAGGTCTTTTTAAGGAGAGAAGAATAGAGAAGAAGAGAGACGAAATACTTTACAGAAATTTTACTTTAAGCTTTGTTTTTAGGTTTTAGGGAGAGAGAGATCTGTCTCTTGAACCCTTGTTCTTTCTTTTTCAATTTCGGTTTCTATTCTACTTTTTAATACTATGTTTTTGATTTCGTTTATTATGTCTGAGTAGTTTTATTGTTGGGTCTAAGGGATTTTCGATGGGGATTTATATGTTCGGTGAGGATTCCATGAGCTTTTGAGCCGAATCTTAGAACTTTTTCTTCTGAATTCGTTTTTACTGCATGAGAGTAGCGTCATGAACTACAATCTGGTCCAGATGCTTGGTGACACGAAAGAGTTCATCCGATGTCAGATCTAGTTTGGGAGAGCAAAACAAACATAGGAGTGGAAACCTACCTATGGGAGATTTGTGAATGCTGACGAGTCTTCAACATAATGCATCTCTTCTTTTCCAGGGCCAGAGTGGAAACCTACTGGTCAGGGTTGAGAGAGATAGTTGTCTATGATCACGATAGTGGCGTATTCATACATCCGTGACTCCAGTTCGAAAAGTTTAAGCTAAGATCTTATCAAATTTACTCTCTAGCAATGTTTTGAATCGTTTGTACCCCTGAGAAAACTTCCCTGAACCCCAACGCCTCTTTTCTTATAGATTAACACCGATTTTCATTCAAGCTTTAATCTAGTGTCTTTACTCTTTCAATCGATTTTCACTTAGCAATTAGGTCTAGTTATTAGGTCATTTTAATTCCTGTAGTTTCTCTTTAAAATTCGTTTTTACATTTTAAACACACCACCAAAACCCTCACAAAACTCGCCTGGTTCTAGACTTCTTTACTTTATATTTCTTTCGAAGGCTTTTGCAGGAAAGATCTTCCTTCCCTGTGGATTCGATCCCTAAGTACTACAATCGATCAGCTGTGCACTTCCGGCTATTGATTTCATTTAGTGTAAAACTTGACACCCTCACGACACACCACATCAAGTTTTTGGCGCCGTTAGCGGGGAAAGCACGCGTTTTCTTTTCCACAAAACCCTAAGAAAGGTTGGTAAATCGACTCTAGAACACCTTTTCTACGTATTTTCGTTTTTTGTTCTTATTTGTTTCAGGTTATGAAGCAATGAACCATATGAAACGAAATTACTACTATGAGGGAGGTTTTTACAACACTCCTCAAGCCACTCGACGCCGAGAAGCACAATACGTTCGTAATCTCTCCTCAATGGGTCAGAATTCAATTCCGAACCACCACACAAGAGGACTTCGCAGCCACAACAAATCAATTCGCGAAAGTTTAGAGGAACAAGGATTCTACTGGGACCACGACCCTTATTCAACTTACAATGCCCACGGATATATCCATGATCCTCTATTTGATGAGGATATGTCGTCTGTCTCCCAAACCGAGATTGATGATATGCTTCAAGAGCTCAATGAATCTATGGATGATGGGTATTGGGTAGCTTGTGAAGTAGATGGAGAATCCTCCATCAAGTTTGTTAGAAAGAGGCCATCAAATGAAATTCCTTTGGATCATCACGTCATGGAAGCCAGCCATCAAGAAAAAGGAGAACCTATTTCCATCCCTTGTGACGATCTCGTCTCTACCGATTCGTTCAAGTGTTTTGGAGATGACATACAAGATCATAAGTCACTTCCTCTTGATGAACCAAAGCCTTTTTCTCCTTCAGCTCCTCACTATCTTGACTGTGAGACAGACCACGTGAAAGAGGAGACACTAATGGTGACATCAAAACCACCATTGGAGGCGCTTTCTAAGACGAAGGATCCCGAGAAGTTTGATGCCCCGTTCTCAATCAAGGGAGTGAAATTTCGTGATTCTCCTTGTGACATTGGACCTGATTTGAATCTTATACCAAAGGCCATTGCAGAGAATATAGGTATTTTGATTTTTCATCCCTCTAAGATTTATATTCACTATGGAGATTTTTCTGGTGCAGCTCTACTTGGTTCCAAACCAGAATTGCCTTTTCAAGGGAAAGGTTGTCTTGTTTCTACTGGTTCACATGCTATGCAGATGAGAAACAATGCAACGAAACCCTTGATACTTGGTACTTCGTTCCTAGCATCTGTTGGAACACTCATCAACTACTTGCATCAACATATGAGTTTCCTGAAGATCAACAAGAAAACCCCATACCCGGTGATTACTACAAGGAACTCTCATTGTATGAT